TGTCTGCATGTCTTTCCAATAGTACTGAGTGTTCTGGTAATGTATATTTGTGTATATACAACTGTCCACTTGGGAATACACGAGCATTTTTTTCAATATGTATGTAGGTGCTTTTTTGTTTGTCTATAGCTGTTATCTTCACCCCCACAGACAAACAGATGTGATGCAGCTGTGTGTGCAGTGGTGGGGACTGTGGCCGTGGTTCCGCCGAATTAAGGGCCTCCTAATCCCTTTCAAAGTGGAACATGATGACGTGATGTCTGTTTATTACAAGATCCTTCGGAGGCCTTATGAAATGTCCCGCGGGCCACTGTGGAGGGCGCGACTGGTGCCCCTTCCTTCACGGTCCCCTGGTCGCTACGAAGCCGTCCTGATGATCGCTGCTCATCACTGCATCACGGATGGTCTCACCAACATGGTGGTGTGCCGGGAGACTCTGGAGGTGCTCAACGCCATCATGAGCGGCCGTCAGCACACTGTCTCTTCCGGAATGCTAATGCCAAACATCGCAGAAGAGCACGTTACCATGCGTGACTGGTTGTTTGCCCTCAAGATGTTTTGTAGCAAACTTTATGGTATCACCAACTATAGTACAAAATTGTACTTTGATGGCGCTCTTCAGCAGCCGGCAACAAGTCTGCCAATAACTAAGGTTTTGCACAAAGAGTACACTGTGGAAACATCACAACAGCTCAGACAAAGGTGCGAAACAGCCAATGTTACAGTCTACTCATGTACTCTAGCGGCGGCATACCTTGCTATGTTAAGTGTGGTACAGAAAGATTCCAAGAAGCTGCAAAGTGAAGCGCTTATCAATGGCGTGAACTGCTTTAACATGCGTCCCTACTATTCTCAAGAATATGAGCAGTCTCCTGGCTGTCACATTTCACTGGAAGAACACGAGTTCCTTGTCCGTAGCTGTGACGCCCAAAGTAAGGCAAACTTCTGGTGTTTGGCAATTTGCTTGAACAGTCGCCTGAAGAGGAACTTCATCCTGGACAAAACACCCATAACAAATTCGCCACTCTTTTCTACTCTAATGCTACACATCAACCTCTTGCTGACCAGTCTCGGATGCAAACATTGTACCGATAGCCACTTTGCCACCACAAACATGGGGGACCTCCGAGACCTGCTACCAGGTAAATATGATGGACCTGTGGAGATCACCAACCTCTTGAGGTCCGTCTCTAGCGAGATTATGGGTTATCCATTTAATCTGAGCTTCCACACCTTCCTGGAACGCTTTATGATATCCCTGGACTACTGCACTACCAACGTGACGGATAAAATGGCCGAGCTGTTCTTCTCCACACTCACCAACTACATCACCAACATTGCCCACCACGGCACTGTCTTAGTGAACCCTGAAGCCTAATGTAGTGATGAACGATACTGTGAGGTTAAGAAAGTTTAGCAGTAACAGTGCCATTTAAATGTGATATAGCAGTACTGAATATAAACTAGTTTTGTTTTAAAGAAAACCGATTGTATGTGGCTTTGTCACATGATTTCATAATATTGATAATTGTTTGTATCCATTTGTCTTAAAATGTTTAAGACAAATTTTTCACCATCGATATTTATACTTCAGTTCCTCTATTGCTTCTCTGAATTTTAGAAATAAGGATAATACTTCTGAGTAATTTTAATGTTTTTGCATTCAAGTACAGTATTTTATTAATCATGTTATTGTCTTGTGGGTACCATTGTTGTGAGCGGGAAGCCAGTTATAGGCTCTCTTCACATTGCAATATTTAAATGTTTTGAATAAATATAAAAAAAACTCCAATTCCCTTTTTTTTCATATACATTAATGACAGATGAGAATATTACAAACCTCATCAAATTTGCAAATTACACCAAGATCTATTGTAAAGTTGGAATGAAAATGATATTGAAGCCTTTTAAAGAGATTTACATGAATTCCACAAATGGTTAATAGCCTGGCAAATGTATTTAAATATCGAAAAATGCAGGACTTTGCATGTGGGGCATAACAACCCACGCCACAACTACCAAATTAATAACATTACCTTGCAGCAGACTGATGAAGAAAAGGACCTTTGAGTCAAAATCCACCATCCGCTGAAAGTTGCACAACAGGCAGTAGTAAATAAATACAACCAAACCGTAGGAATAGTAAAGCATACCTTGACATTAATGGAACAGCGCCCTTCCTTATTGTCCCTCTTATATTGTAGAATGTCTCAATATTCAAGACATTCATGTCTTTGTTTTTAATGTCCCTCAATAGCATCCTTAGTGAATCTGATACTTTCGATATCACTTTCCTTATGTGCTTTCTTTTTGTATTGGCATATTAAAGGATCCATACATAAATTTTTTTTTTTTGGCTCGCACGTTACTGGCATGATCCAGGGATCACCATGAGGAGGTACAAGTAAAATTGTGTAGCTTCATAAGGTTAATATAAATCCAATTCTCATATAATGGTGATGTATTTTCATCTTTTATTAACAGACTCATATCAAATTACCATTATGGCAATAATGAACACGTAGCAAACCAACAAGAAGACTGCCTTCGTCTAGTCATTACAAGTTCTGTACAGTACTTTATTGATATTATTATTTCTGTACAAATTGTGAATTTCCATTAAAAATAACAAATATTCTAGCAAGCTTTTGCTATAGATATTAATGTATTAAATAATCATACAAATACTGTTCTGTGAATTGGGTACCTCATGTACCTCATGTGATGAATATAGGAGACCATTCAGTGGAATTGAACCCTGCATCCTTAAACTCTTCAGGTATATACACTACTGACTGTACCATGTCTGTATGGTCCAGTTAGTAGTGTATGTGTGTCTGAGAAGTGCAGGGATACAGGTTCAATTCCAATATACAACCTCAATATCTAATTTATTGATACCCCTTATGAAATGACTCCTTATAGTTCTCTATCTAATATTTTTTAATCATCTACTGACAGAATTTCATTCCTTAGAAGACGAAATTGATCTAAACCGTAATACTGCACAACCTCAAAAATTCAAGACAATATTAAAGACTACTATAAATACTCAATTATTTGTTGCAAACATTACATTATAGACGTGACAACTACTTTATTATATGAGTCATATATTTATATAATAATGTTAACATTGCTAGTTTTTTGTTAACAGACAGTCACTTTTGCAGCCAAACTGCTCGAATTCATTACTAATAAAGAAAAATTAGTTAATGTAATAAAACCTGTAAATAACACAAGTAATCAACCTGCTGTAAACTCCAGAGAGCTCAGTTCCTGCCCCTGATAATGGAAAACCATTTGTAATACTGTATTTGCCTTTACATTCAAAGCACTTACTGATATGCACAAAAGTTTCTCGGTTTTTACCTAGGAACTACAATCAAATATGAACACAAGTTATTAATACCTTACAAGACAACCCGAACAATTCACAAAGAAAAATGTAATAAACTTCAAAGTTTTCTTAATTAAAACATTACAACCTTTGACAAGGAAAATTAATTTTTAATTACAACCATTGACAAGGAATATTAAGATACTCTTACAAACAAAAATATTAAGAAAATTTATACTAAAAACAATTTGATTGCAAATATGTGTAACAACCACCACAGCATCAAGGTAATATCATAGGCTATACACTTTTATAAATAAAATAAAAATAATGACATTAATGAGCTATACAGACTCTGGGGTCTTTATACTATAACATATGATACTAATTATTAACCACAGCATAGAAAAAATATTTATCTACTTGTATTATGTACAGTACATCATTTCAAATACTGGTAGAGTTATGGAATAGGTAGCATTCCCCCTTATCTTAGTGTTAAAACCAATCATTTGATTAGTCATTTATTTCTACCTATTACATGATGGCTTTCCTATCTTTTAAGTGTATTAAACATCATTTGCTTATATACTGTAACAAATAACAAGGTTAGGAGAAATATGAGCATAGAAAGGGGGAAATCAAATGAGAAATATGAATAAAGAATCAGAGACACACAAAGGGCAATTAGCTTTAGCTCCGTACCTACACATAACCTTTCAACTTTGCCTATTTTGAAGGGAGTGAATGCTGCCGGCTTATCTTCAAGCAGCTATAATCTAATAACAACATGGTAAGGGGCCCCAGTACCTTGAAGCCAATTTATCTTGAAGTACTGTATCTTAAAGCCAAGCTTGAAGGGCCACTATACCATCATTCATTCGTCATACCTAAACAATCTTGGTATTTTCTCCACAATTTTGCAGTTTACCGACTTTTGCCCTCTCAATGACATTTTAATTTCTATCTTTATTCTTATAACAGCATGTCCGTGTCTGCTGCTCTAATCTTGATTTTTCACATTCATACCACACCACTTTCTCACATCAATACACAGCATTAACACCACCACTCCTTCATGTAGCCCTCTGGTGGCAGCAATCTCTTATCTTGTGTTTTCAACCCCACACTTTGAATGCACCAGCCACTTTCCTTCCCTCGCCTACACTACTTTCAGCTCTGATTGCACTACTTTTCTCTTGTTTATCATTCACACATCCTGGGTATTTAAACTGATTGACTTAATCATTATACAATCGCTTTTACTTGTTTTTTCTAATACAGTATAATTTTTCAACTACAGTAGTCTACATAAATTTGAATTACTTTCTGCTGAAAGTGCTTCAACTTGTTGACATAATCCCACACATGGAATTACTGTAAATACTGTATATATTTTTTGTTCTGAACTGTACTTAAACTGAAAACTTTGGTTCTCATACAATGAGCATGCCATCCAGAGTAACACACTAAAGCAAAATGATATGGTGGGTGTGATGTATAGTGAAAGTCCTCTGAACTAGAACCTTCCTGTAACACAGTCCTCTATAATTCTGCCTCATTTTCAATTTCCTGTGAAAATCCTATAGCATTGCTTCCATCATTCTATTTTAATCTATTTATTTATGCCACCTGTGAGTCCCATTAACTCCATTTAATAGTTGTTTATATAATTATCATGCTGCCCACTATTTTTTTTTAATTTATGCTCAAAATTAATGAAATAAAAAATAAATTACCATCTGTTTTCTGCCACATTACAAGTTTACATAATTAATGAACAGTACAATGCTGAACTTTATCTTTGAAATTTTGGTTCTTACATAAATTAATCTTGCATATTTGTAAATGATAAATAATGTACAGTATGAGCAAATGAATATGGCAAAATTTTTAAATCAATAAATTTGTAATAAATAAAATTTATTTCAATAAATTTAAATTTTAATTTAATAATCAATAAATTTTGAAATCAATAAATCAATTTAAATCATATGTGACAGGTCCCTCAAGACAAATTTGACTGCTAATCAATGCAGTTCAAAATCTGGGTAAGATTTCCTAGGAATCTAGTCAAACAGATCTCTGTAGCCATTAAATCATAAATATATATTCGGTAAGTATTATTCTAATTTAAATCTTTACTTACATTATACTAAAATGTTGATTGAAAACACAAATTTCTTGCCTGTAGGAAAAAAGCTGCACTTCTGACCAAACTTCACTGACGACAATACTCTACCGAATATCTCCCGACACTCTAATGCTTGACTTGATCATCGTGTTTCTGTGGTAATTCTGAAAAATATATGTACTTTAAGAACAGTTTCTCCCCAAATAGAATTCAATGTACAGTTTAATACACACCACTCAGTTTAATACAGTTTCTCCCAAAATAAAATTCAATTTACAGTTTAATACACACACAACATAATATGTCTAGTCACAAAGTTACTGTATTGACATGCACTAAAGGCAAGTTTAAAAAAAAAAAAAGCTTATGATACAAATAATTATGTAGTTGCAAATTGCTATACAGATACCCATGTACAGTAGTTACAGTCACTAAGGTAATTGCAGTACAGGTAATCAGGTATAGCAGCTACAAGTACCCGTGTAATTACAATATAAGTAACAGGATAATTAAATACATCAAGCACCTCTCTGCTGGTCTAGTCTCAGGTTAACAAGAAATTGCAATACAAATGTAAAGCATGCACCCCTCCCCTCCCTACTCTTTGACTTCTTTCATAAGAATTTGCAAAGAAAATTTTTTGCAGAAATCACACACACACATTACTGATAAATATAGATGCATAGGAGAGTAACTGTGTTTAAAAAGTAATGCTCTAAATATAGTTGGTGAAATGTTTTCACAAAGTAGAGACTTGTAAATACATCATTTTTTTTTTTTTTTTTTTGGTGTTGAAATGCAGTGGTCACAATTATTCAAGTACCAATTAGGTGAGGAAAAACTAGTTTCAGATATTTTGCTATACAGTATATGTCTGGATTACGTGAAAACCTTTTGGATAATTAACAAAATTAAAAATGCTATATTCTTGATTCAAATAGTAATGCATCAAAAGAAACAATTACAAAATTCAAAATATAGTACAGTACTGTATAGTATACTATTGAATATGACATTCAGAAAAAAAAGAGAAAAGGTGTAAAACAGGCAGAGAAAGCGATATTAAACTAGTCATAATTCATAAAATTATGGTTGGGCAGTGTAAGTTAGGCAAGTACAGAGGAATATTATAGCTCAGACATGGCAAGGACTCGAGCTCAATCGTGCAAACAGATTTGGGCATAGGAAAAGGGAAAGGCCAAGACAGTCACACTGTTTTGGAACTAGTCTATCACCAGATCCTGGAACAAGGATGGATGTAATGGAAGGACAAGAGACAGGTCTGCTTACCCTTAGGAAAGGAAGAGACGTTATCTTGCTTCCTCTCCTGGATGGAAGATGGGGGGCGTAGAATGAAAACTGGTGGCTCCTATGTAGTTTGTCAAGTAAGCAATAATTTCAAACAAGATGTTGGGAGGGGGCAGGACAGACGAGCATCAGCTGTAACTATCCGAGTTGGAGGGGGTCACGAGGAAGGCAAGTGGAGGAGCCCCAAGGGACCCAATCCGATGATGGGGAAATAAGGTCCTGGGCCGTGCAAGTAGGAAATACAAAGGAGGGTAGGAAAGGTCATGGATGCAGGGGAGGGGAGGGTAAGGAGGAAGGGATATGGATCCAGGGAAGGGTAGGGAGGAAGGGACATGGATGCAGGGAAGGCTATCTCGAGGGCCACTCCTGACAGAAGTAAACACAACACAGTTGAGGGCACTGTTGTGAGAACAACCAATTCTGGAGAAAGGGGGAAGGGAAAATGGGTGTCCAGGGATGCCTGACGAACAGTGTGAGAATACGAACATCATTGAAGAGGCTTAGGTATTGTAGTTTATGCCACACCTCAGCAAAGGGAATGTTGTCTTTTTGTTTAAAGGGCTGGATGGGCTGTTTCATTTTAAGTGAGTACAGGACAGAGAATGGAAGGTGACCACCAAACTAGCAATATGACAAGTCTGTGTAAGGTAACTTAATATGACCTAACTCACCACAACGTTTGAAAGAGACCATTGTGCTCCGGCAAACTGAAGCACAATGTCAAAATTTCCAGCATGACAAAAATATTTACAGAAATTAAATATTAATGAATTACAATTGTCCCATGCACAGAGAGGTGGAACGAAGTTTAAATAAAGAGAAGAGGATTACAAAAGTAAAGATTTATTAAGAGCTGCAGAAGGGGGCTATTGTCTAAAGTATGAAGATGTGAACAGAGTTATTAGTTATTTGCAGATGTACATAAAGCCTTTGTATTATAGCTAAAATTCATACTATATATTGTTCGTGGATGAAGGACTGAAATAATTTGCTTTGAATTGAAATATCACATGGGAAAACATTAAAATATACTTCAAAACATTAAAATATTAGGTGTTAGAATATAGTACTAACAATCAACATCTGAAAAGATATATACTGTACTGCATATATATAAAAAAAAAGGCCATGCAAAATTTGGCTTAATTTTTTCTTACCATGTCTATCTATCTCATTTTTCTTTATGAAGATTATTGCAATTCTCTTCCTGTAACAAAATTAAAACAATGAAGAAAATCTCATTTTTTACAGGATGAATTCTCTTTTGAGATGTCAACAATAGTTACTCCTTAAATGTGGTCAATATTACCTTATCTCTGAATAAGCTAAACTTCACCTTAAACATGGCAGCCTGTTCTTGAAGGGCAGGTGGGCAAGAACTTTGATTAATCCAGCATGCAAGTGGTTGGGCACTATTCCTTTCCCCCGTCCCATTCTAAATCCTTATCTTGACCCTTCCAAGTGCAATATAGTCGTAATGGCTTGGCACTTTTCCCTGATAATTCCCTCCCCCCTCCAGCACCCATGACTCCTTTCACTTTATGACATGTATCAAAGAGCCAGTCTTTGCGGGTTGAACATTAGGTGTGCCCGATTAAGACCAAAATACTAAAGAATTGTGAACAGATTGTTTCAGTCTAGTTTCAAGTACCAAGTTTCAGTCTATAAGAAAGAAAATTGATCATCCATTTTCCTATCTGTCTTCAGTTACCACCCATCCTTTTTGGATTGTCATCTGCTGCTTATATTCTTGATTTTTGCTCATGTCTCGGAAACCAACCCAAAATATCAAATTTTTTACATTATGGTAACCAATGCTACAAATGCGACCTACTATGAAAGGTAAGAGCTCATAATTACTCTACATTTTCTATGCAGTGGACTCGATAGGTTTATATATTTCTGGTCAAGTTAAAAGGTTGGATTTTTTTATGGAGCGGCAAATCAAGAGTACAGGCCACCCAACCTCACATAGCTTTACAACACTCCCAGTAAAATTTGTTTTTCATCAAATTCAATACAAAATACAATCTGTCCAATGTTTGTATACATAAAACACATACTGTAACAATTCAAATATTTAATTTTGTAAAAGTATCACAGTTCAAAACACAGCATACTAAAAAATTTCATCAAAACTTAACAACTTTTAGCTGCAAATTACAGGGAATACTTACTTTTTAAAACAATATGACATTATTCACATACTGGTATATAATGTTTTGTACAGTATATTCCGACAAACCACCACCATGTATATTCAGAACTCTTTCCTGTACTACATAAACCCAAGGCAGAATCTTCAAAATCCCTTACTGCAATATTAATGGTATCAAAAAAAAAAAGCTACATTATCATAATTCAGTATCTTTAAAAATGACAAATACAAATTAAAAATAGCAAACTAATTACATCATAAAAAGGTACTGCAACAATTACTATAGAAAGCTGTGTGTACTTTGATCACCTATACTAAATGTATTTGTTATTATATACAAGTAGTTTTTTTTCATTTACATATACTGTAGCTGTTAAATCATGCGTTAAATTCATTAATTTTGAAAGACATTGTACCGAGATCAACAAAATGCCAAATTAAAACACAATTAAATACATTAAACAACCTGTACTGTTAGATATTAATTGTATCTAATAAGCTGAACTACACACAACAGATGAGGCAGTTTCATTTACAACCTGAATTGAAACCTACAATTGCCTTGTAGAACTTTAGGCACACCATTGAACCATAACATTAAGTTTCTAATTGCCTTACATCACAACCTCCTTGACACAACACTTCACCTAACAATACGTGATCATTGCCTTACATTACAACCTCCTGGACACAACATTCCACCCACCATCACATCAGAGAATTGATACCACGGACATTCATCGATGGTGAACGTCAACTATACACGGCACAACCAAAGTATCAAGAATTATTAACTAAAACAGAGAACCCAAGAATTGAAGTGACTGCAAAATGCTGCACACATTAATACAATAATATATTAGTAATACATTATACATCAATGGAATTCAGTGGAAGGTTTGCAATGGCCACCTGCATATCTAAAGCCATACAATTCTCAGACTATTACTATAAATGATGAACAATGACTTCTGTAGTCCTTAAATGATTCATTACTCTTCATTACATAGTGTAACTCCAATTATCCAGACCAAATGGATATCTGGGGCCAGATTCACGAAAGCACTTACGCAAGCACTTACGAACGTATACATCTTTCCTCAATCTTTGACGGCTTTGTTTACATATATTAAACAGTTTACAAGAATGAAAACTTGCCAATCAACTGTTGTTATTGTTATAAACAGCCTCCTCGTGCTTCGGAGCTCATTAACCGTTTAATAATTGTAAACAAAGCCGCCAAAGATTGAGAAAAGATGTATAGGTTCATAAGTGCTTGCGTAAGTGCTTTCGTGAATCTGGCCCCTGACTCACTGGACCTTTGTTGACATCACACACCTGTAATGCTTCCAAGCATGGGAATATTGTACATGTACATATTTATAACAGTGATCTTTGTACTGTATGCTTACACTGGTAGTGTTGTGGCCTATTGCATTCCTCATTGGCCATTGGGACGAGATAGCCAAAAAGAATTGTATAATCATTGATTGTTTTAAATTACTCTACAATAATATTTACAGAAATAATAATCTGTATTAAAATACATTAAACACAATTGAAATTACTCCATGCAAAAACAATAAAAAGATGAAACAAAGGGTCATCTATTATAATATTCGGGCAAATATTTGTTGAATCCACTACCACACAAGCAGATTTTGCTCGCAAGGCTTACCCATTTAGCTTGAAAATGGGATGTTTACTTTCACCCAGATGTGCTTTATCATGTAGTCTTTGAGTTGTACCTCTAACCCACATCTCATGATCAACAGGTTGATGACCGTTAAATTTAAGGAATCAGCTGCCAAGTTTGCTGGGTCTAAGCTTTAAAATGTTAAGACTATGTCCATGCTGTACAGTATAGTTTGATAAATACACACAAGTATACTGTACCTGTATTATGATATTTCACAAATAACTAATGTATGTGAAAAAAATAAAAAGTTATTTATACCAGTAAGTACACGCTTAAGAAAATAATCCAATAAACCATTTTATATTGTTCATGTAATCATTTACTATCTGAACTGCACTTGGGCAATATAACTTAAGAGGAAAATAACTTTCCCTAACTTCTACAAATTAATACAGTATAAATCTATAAATTTACTAGATACAGAAGGTTTACTAAAAAATAATCACAGTTTAAAACCAGTCAAAAAATGTGTTTGAGAGTGCAACAGGTGGAGGAGCATCAATAATGAGACAATACACCTCAGCCAGTTGCAAGAAAATATTTTGTTTACAAACACTCGAGTATCATCAGTTAATGCCTAGCTCGCAACCTGTTACATTTTAATACTCATAATCAACACTTGTGCAATTACTTGTTCATAAACAGGTATCTCATGTAAAAGGTCAACCCAAGTTTTTCAGGTTGTCAAACCATTTTAAATGTCTCGTTAAATATACTGTATAACGAGTATGGAAAGTACTGTATTACTTTAACAAATTAAATTTTTTTGTCTATGACTATCTTTCCCCATCTCAATTTGTCTTTTATGAAACCTGCAATCACTCTGAAATAGATTTTTTCTATATATATCCCTTCTCTCATCTATCCTTCACTCAATTTGTGGGACCGTGTTTGTATGTGTGTGTATCCAACTATCCTGTATTCCTTGGGATGGAGACAAGAATCCATATACATGTGGAAAATACTAGAGGTTCAGGTTCCTAACTTGCACAATAACATTACTGAAGTGAGAGATATGGTGGGAAGTGTAAAATAAATACAATGAAATGTCAGGGTGCTACAGGCACAAGAGAGCACAGTGTAAACATCAAGAGGGCAATGACTCTCCCTCCTGCCAACAAATATAAGGAATATCACTGGAATGTGAGTACAAGCCTTCAAGAAGGAACTTGGCAAGTTTTTTCTAGTTACTCTTCCAGCCTGGTTGTGTGGGCTATGATGACAACTTCAAAGACCAGGCAACCATCAGGGAACACTGGCCCAAGGTCGGGTTGTGATAGCAGCAGGTTTATCTAACTCATCGAACAGGTCATCATCTTTCAATGTCTACTTCTGTCAATCCATATCCTCAATCAACCTACCTATCAATCTGTGTATGTTCATCAATCCATCCCTCCTGTTTATGTCTATTTCTCCTTCCCTCAATTTCTCTCTTATAGACAAGTTTAATATATTAGTACTTAATAATAATACAACCTATAAAAAAAGCCCTTAACAATTATGGGGAGCAAACAGAATGTACCAAATAGTCGAGTTCCAACACGTCAACAGCTTATTAAACCTTGGCCCCTCCCCTTACTTGTCCTCCCTCCAGCTTTCGCTATACAATTCTATTCTCTGTCCTTCTGCATTATTTGCTGAATGCTGCAGGACAAAACTTTTTTCCCCTCTCACATATATTTCATTACAAGATAAAAAACAGAATGCAGCAGATATAACAAAGGGATTAACAAAGACATGATACTCACTCCACACATCTGAAAAGAAAGAGTGACGACATTTCAATCTGTAATGGACCATTATAAAGTTTGCTTGACTTGATAATGTTCTAGAACAGACTGAGACATTGTCCCTTTTCTTTCCAGATATATGGGTTGGGTGCCTAATTTTCACCCACATTAGTGTAACTTTCTCTGTACATAACAAAGACAGAATAACAAATGAAATGATGCAAAAACAATAACAATGGTCAAGTCATTCTAAGCATGTAAGGGTTGTGAGGAAAATGAAGGTTGTGTTACTATATTGAAAATTGAAACCACAGTTAGTTATAATTTGACAAGCTGCAGGGCAAGGGGGGACTGAAAATGAGAGTACTGCTACGGCTGAGGTACAAGAGTCACTGCTGCCGCTACCATCACCCATCGCCACTAGTGGTTTTGCTTTATAAATTTAGCATTTCTTCTATCTTTGATTTAGTAATAATGTAACAATAAGGAGGAATTTCCTTAATACTGTGCAGTGAATTGTGAACATTTAGTAGCACCATGTTAGGAGATAGCCTGGCTACTGGCTACTCCCAAATGCCTTAACTCTCATGACCAAACTCTTGCAACTTTTATTATTTCAATATTATAAATACTTTGTACTTCTATTATTTTACATTTTTTGGTTATCAAAATACATCAGTAAAACGTAATGTTGCAAAGTAGACGATATATTTTATAATGCAAGGACTATTTTTTAATGTTTGATAAAACACTGAGCATGGATTTAAAACTATTGAAATTATTATACATGCGATCACAAACGCCCCCAAAAATGGACTGAAGAGTTTGACAATCACATGGTATATACAGTAAATATATATAATGCAATCTCTGCACAATTACACGCACACACCACACATTCACAGTGCACTGCATCAAATCAGAAGTCTGTGTACAAAGTGCAACAACAGTGCACAATCCCACAAAGAAGTGTTATGGGGTGAAAAGTAGTGTACACTAATAATGCATCCTCTTTTGTTTTGGCTTTATCTGTGAGAACTGTAGAGGCAAAAGAAAATATAAGTTTCTATTACAAAAATTTTTTGTACTTCAGGGAAACATCACAGTCTTTTGTGGTTTCCACAGTCTCACAGAATAAACTTGTCAGAGGAGTTTTCAAGCACCTCTCACACCTCTGGTAGCTCATTCACAAATCATAAGTAAATTTTTGTACCAGAAAGACCCAGACTTTCAAACTTTCTCTTTACCCGACTGCTGTGGTTTTGGAGCATCATGAGCCGCTTTCATTTCAAGTTGTTTGACGTATGCGTATGCCATGGAGCCTCCAAGAACGACCCAATTGCTTGTCCACCAGAGTAGTGCCTTGGACTCGGCATACCACCACGTTGCCAACACTGTCTGCGCACATGCCTTAGCTGTTCCACTGATGTTGTGGGTGAGTGGTGATGTGACCTGTACAAAAAAAAATTATTTAATGCATCATAATGAGAATTTACATGAATACCTTGTTGCACAATATACATTCTATGTTTTGAAAGCCCCTCTTATCTTGTGCTATACTGAACATTGAAGATGGTATGGGGTTACTTGTTCTCATATACAGTACTATACATACAGTACACTACCTCTTTTAAAACCCAGCAAAATAATTACCACCACATACTGTACTTGTTAAAAAATTACCTTAATTTGCAGACCAGTCACATATCCCATAGCAAAGCCACAGAGCCCAGCCACAATCATTAGACCCCAGAAATTTGGGTTGCCTTCGGCAGTTATTCTAAAAATGGCAGGCACTTCTCCGGCGCCGACAATGAGTGGCAGGAACAGAATGCAGGCTATGACATTGTTGTAGTAACAAAGCATCCATATTGATCCATCCAGTACAGGCAAAACCTGTCAAAAATTAAACTATGTATTCTAGATACTAGTACATCAACATATTCTAATACAGATATAAAAACTGGTATTCTAGTTTTTATACCTGTTATAGTCTTCCACGGACTTAATTCAGTATAACTCTTATATGGCTTTGCTAATTAAGTAACTTAGCAACGATGAAATTCTAACAGCCTTTGATACTTTAGACACCCATGCTGCTGCTGTCTTGTCATTTTTAGGTTCTTATTGACACTGTTCATCCAAATTTGTATTTTCCTTAAAAACCTTACCAAAGATAGATTTATAAATTAGCATTGAAATTACTCCCTGAACAAAATTTTAAAGTATACAGTACTAATCTTTACCAAAAATAGAATATTCTTCCAATAATGATTTCTTTTTTCTCAACCATGACTCTTGAATTATATGCAATAGATTTATTATCTAAAGTTGAGATTGTTTAGAATAACAAAGATTTTGTACATTTAAATCATCAAAACTCATCCATTCTCAAATAATCAATTGATAAAAGTATTTCATTTACAGTACTGTAGTTTGTATAATTGAATGCACATGTACAAAACTAAACCCCATCAGTTTCAAGTTTATCTAGCATGGAAATACAGTGTAACCGCGAGTGACTGACTCGACGAACAATGAAAATCGACAAATACAAATTTCTTAACGTCCCACGTCATGTTGTGCATGACAAAAAATAACTCACAAATCAAATACAAAAGAACTGCAGGTAGCAATGAAGCCATGCAAGGGTTAATAACAAGGAAAGAAACATGATCCATGAAAAATCCAAGACATCATGGAAAGATAACATTTTCCATGAGCATTCTCATTTTGTTAACTTACTTCTCCTTGGTATTATTAAGTGTTTTACCCCCTCACACTTTAAGTTAACAGTTTTGTCTATTTATGTTATGCTTTGCCCGAAATGCTTTGCGTAACAGTAGCTTCATTAGTACGTGTAACTCCTATCCCTACAACTGTACATTACTCTTTATGCTCTTTGTACACACATTCATTTGAAATCTATCACATTTGAAACAATGGTTTGTTTTCCAGCTGCCCGAAGGAGTTTAATTTGATGTCTATTAGCTGTATTCTCAGGGTTAATATAACAGATGGATAAATACTCACCCTTTTAGTGTAGATTGCATTGAGAGATACAAAAGCTGCAGAGAGAAGCCCAAATGTTATCCCCAGAGCAGACAGCGATCCTAGAAAACAACACAAAATTCTACAAGTCCAAAAAAATCTGGTTAAATACAGCACAAACTGGTGATAATTATATAGAAACTACCAAGTAGAGAGATTTCATTGAAGATGATATTTTGTCCATAAAGACTTCAACAAATCTAAGAAAAATCTACACTGCTGCTTGTACAGGAAAACAATGTTGAGGAAAATGTTGGATAAGGCACCAGGCATGCAAGGAATTAACCACTTTGTATTTGTTTTAATTTTTCCTAGAAAAACATTTAAATTGTGAACATGCAAAACCTCCCTTATGTCAGGCCTGTAGCACAGCAGTCTACATCAACAACTCACAATCAAAGGACCCAGGTTCACTCCCCAGGTAGGAAAGAAACAGTTGGTCACATTTTCTTTCATCTGATACCTTTGGTAAATAGGTACCCAGGAGTTAGGCAACTGTTTTGGGAATATAGGCCAACTATTCTGGAGAAGGTTGGTAGCTGGCCTAGGGGGAAACTATTGGAATTATTCTGTTTTTACTGATAAGATGTCATCTTACACAAAGTCTAATTTCTACTACTAGGTGCTTCTCTACAACAACAACGAATACCTGCTAAGAAATAAGGTGAGGTGATGCAGTTAAACTATGGAATAACCACTGCAACAGTGCTAAAATCTACAACTGGATCAGCTGCAGAAATTTAGACATTTATTTGATCACGCTTACTTGTTTTAAAAGAATTGCTGTACATACTTAGTACTGTAATTCAACTAATTTGAGGCTTTTACAGTAGAACCAGTAGATACAGTTGGAGCAGAGTAAGACAACTTTTCTGATAGACTCACCTGCCAAATACCTTTTAGGAGTCAAAACAAATGAACATTCAGTCGAGATGAGTAACCCAAGGTACAAGGTAAATAATGCTTTTGAAATAAAGCTAAAAAAAAAAAACCCAAAGATCAAGTTAATACAATTTTGTTACATGTACTGTAGTGTTTCATTAACCCAGAAAAAGATTTAACAAGAAGTAATTATCATAGAAAAATACATTACCTGCAACATTTTCCTGATCAACACCGAGCCAGAAGCCTCCTATGATAACAGCGCAACATAATATAGCTGACATTGATGTCTTTTGGCCTGCAACAAAGGCAAGAAATCAACTAAAACACACAGACAGAACTATTGAATAAACATGACACACACAACAGTAGCTTAATCTCTTCTCTTAAACAAAAAATAAATCATATTTTCAGCTCGACATTATTTAAATGTTAACCTTACATAAACTTCTGGTTACCGGTATGTTACATCTTCCTCACTTGGTCTCTTATATTCCATCTCGTCCCATCTCTTCATCTTTACTTTATTCTCTTTTCTCCTCCTTCCCCATCCCACACCCTCTCTCATCTCCTCCCCTACTAGAATGGGGAGGTTCCTTCCCTACTAGTAGGGGAGGAACTGATGTTCCTCCCCTACTAGAACATCAAATACAATACAGTACAATAAAAACAATAAATATATTCATGCAAACATGCAATTATTATTTTCGTTATCTGCTTGACAATTTATTAAACGGAAAAGTGGAACTAATGTACCCTGCAGATAATGGAAAATAAAATAAAATAAAGGGTAAATTTTCTATGAAATGCAATTAGCCAAGAAAAGAGCAGTTCAATACAAACATTTCTTGGATTAGCTCATGTCACATTCTTCATTCAATTTGTTAAAGAGCACACACAAGCTACAAGCAGAGTACAGCAAAGACTGTACTGTATAAACACTATACATGTTTGCATCGCTGAAAAAAAATATTCTTAAAGGTGTAAGTTAATTTAAATCATTTTTCAATTTGTACACAAAACATCAATTTACTCACCCAAAATCAAGTATGTGAAGATTACGTTGAATATTGTGGAGAGTGAACGGCCTACAAAATAAAAGGCAACGCCCATGTACTTGAGGGAGAGGTTGTTCATGGTAATCATTGCCACAAACACGCATGTCAAGGGCAATACCTGGAAAAAATACAGAGTCAATGATTCTTAGCAATTTTCAGGCTGTGGCAAGCAACCATCTTGTTTGGTCATCCTAGACAATCTTGTACAATTCTGTACTCCCATCTGAATAATATAATCAATCAATCAATCAATCAATCAATCAATCAATCAATCAAACACACACACACACATACACACACTCTCTCTCTCACACTCACTCACTCTCACACTCACTCACTCTCTCTCTCTCTCTCTCTCTCTCTCTCTCTCTCTCTCTCTCTCTCTCTCTCTCTCTCACACTGATCCAAGAGTCAATGCTCGATCCTGCAGACACAACCAGGTGAGTACACTCTCTCTGACATTTTCAGTGAACCATGCAGTACCTCTCAGTCCACTCTTTTTTTTGACTTGTAAACACACACAACTTCTACGGTATTCAACATCTTCACTTAAATTCAGCAATTTTCCCCTTACATTGTCAAATATTTTACCAAATCATCTTTAAGCTTTAGTCTTTCTTCCTCAATCTCCATACTTCTTTCATTTTGACACTACACTCTTTCTCTAAGTGGAAAGCTCACCTCTAACTTACCATAATTCTACGTAACACTACATCTGACATCATAAAAAAATAACTTGACTAACTACCCCTCACATTGTTTACATTGCTTTTATACTGGCTATAAATCTACACTTAAATATAATTTCTCAATTTCATCCCTTTCCCTATGTTTTCAAGTATACCTATGTATGAACCACTGCTCAAAGAACATATTTGGTCTAAACAAACCCACCTTCAAACATAGGAAATCCCTGTTCTCTTTTACACCTGACACACCTCACTAACTTCTCCTGTGCATTTGTTCACCTTTAGTATTCTTATCTTAATATTATAATGTAATACAACACTGATTAAACAAGTTGACAAAGACAGTAACAATAAAAGCAGGGGGACAATTTTTATACATTATTATCTTTGATACTCAACACTGAGGTTCTGACAAGATTTTAAGACAAAATCCTTCTCCCAATATAAATACTAGTATGTTTGTTTTGACACAAGAAATCTTAATACACCACTGGTTATGATATAGCCTGTTAATGGTTATAATTAGTAATTTATGAATACAAGTAAGTCAATACTAACTTACCTTTCTACCCTTTGCCCAGTCTATACTTCCAACCTCAGGAAAAGTCACAATGTTTGGAAATAATTTTGTGCTATATGAGAGCAAGAGACAAGCAGCAACGGTCACCACACACTGGAACCAAGATACAAATAACGGGGCATCTTTCTCTCCCATAGACGAGCCGCCTAAGAGCGACTTATTGACAAACACCAGTGATATAGAAACCGTCCTGTAAATAACACTGAATTAGTAAAATAAAGTACAGTATACATTTCCTCATTTTTAAGTATTTTGACATCAAGTTAATAAACAGGTTATTACTTTATATTGGTGAATGAGTGTTTTTTTTCTTTAGCAATTACTGAACTGTATGACAACCTTTTCTAAAGAATTGCTGTACTGTTTTTACTGCCAATATTCCTATGCACAATAAAGCATTAACATGCCTATCTTTTGTATATTGTATATGAATGTACAGTACTGTACAGTGTGTAAATATGCATGTATATATATGTTTTGTTTAATAAGCCTTCAGCCAAGATAAAGCATTAAATAAGGTAGACTCCTACACATATGTCACGTGTAAGTGAAACAAACTATGAACAGGTCAAATGCTACAAACAATAAAGATGACTATTGGAGTCATGTAGGAACTCTGTATGGCATCCAAGCATGTTATACCATGTAAAGTACGCCAATCTTAATGGTGTTAAATGATAATGCAAAACACTAAGCTAGAAAAATAATGACCTGGGACTGGTTGCCAAGCCCTTCACTCCTAATCACAGTTTGAGAAGCAAGTCTGGCTGCCCAGGCAAGAATGTACAGCTGCATATTATTTAATACTGTTCACCCTGCATACAAGGAAAGGTTAGGGATGACTAAATAAAAAGTTAACTCACTGTCCCTGGTGTGACTTAAGTGTGCACAAACCACTGACACATTAGAGGCAAGGAGAAGGCCAAATAAATCTAAGTGCACAGCTACAGACATCTATGACCAAAGGACAAAATCTAAAAAGCTGCAAAAGAACTGTTATAACCTCGAAGAGTGAGCCCACAGCAAGTGCATGACAAACACATGGCAGAAAACACTGGTTGAAGAATCAATGGACACATGCACTCACATGAAGTGAACATGTACCATATACAGTACAGAACACTGCACATAGAAATAATGTTTAAATGAGTGCAAGTATCTTAAGAGGTACAAGTCTCCCTTCCTGAACATAGACAAATAATTAAATCACAATTGCTGGGTTTGGGAACCTGGGTAGGCACTAATATTGCCACCTGGTGGTGGATTGGCAAGTTTAGCCTGGCTTGTGAGCAGTTATGAAACCTCCATTGACGGTCATTTGTGACACCGGCAAGTTATGGTTTGATTGCAACAGGATTGCCATCAGAGGCACATTAACAAGTAAGAGCAAGCTTTTCTCCAGTGCATTCCTAGCAACTTACATTACCCAGAATTAACATTTGGAAAAGATCAACACTTTATGGTGCTCAAATAATGAACTCTCCGAATGTTCTTTAACCCTACCTATGAAACAGCAGATTCTTAGCTTATGGAGCAATGAAATATGATAGCCAGAAACATCAGCTATTCTCACCCCTAATCAAGAAGCTAAAGGAAATTATACCATAAAGTAACTATAATACTTACCAATAGAGGGCGACAACTGCTGTAATCTTAGCATATGTGACTAATAACGATTCTTTTCTTGTAGACTCCATGGTGAGCTGCAAATACAGTGTAGTATAAAAGCCTGGAAATAAAATTCCAAATACTCTCTTTAGAAACCATATACAGTGTATTGTAAATTAATTAATTTACTAAACAGAATTAACAGAAATGACACAAACTCCTGAAAATGTAGCTAATGACTGACAACCATTCATGGTGATTATCCATGCTAAGTTAGAATAAAAACAATTTGTTCTATTGAAGCTGATAGATATGATATCCATTGAAGCTGATTAAGTCTGATATCCACTAACATCTAGCTAACCTATTAACTGGCATAATCTTTGACATCTTCCGGTGACACCCGGCAGAGCAAAAGCCAGATATTCACCATGTCCCAAGGTAGAAACAAACTCCCATAAAATTATCTAAAGTAAGCAACGTATCAAATACAACACTGACGTGGGACGTGGCGTTCCTTATGACGTGAACTACTGTTCACGCACTGGGTTTTACACTCTATCGACGAAAGCAGTATTTAAAGCATTATAAAACCATGTTAGAAACTATAATATTTACGTAAGAGAGCGAGAGACACAAGGTGAGGCAAGGAGAGCTGGTAGAGCAAGAGGGAGACAGCTCTGGGAGTCGCCGCTGCTCTACGATTTGTTTACGTCAACTAACTCGTCCGGATGGCTGCAAGCGGCGCCGCCTTTGGTTCACCACTGATCTCGGTGGACCACTGATTCTAATGGACCACTGATCTCAGTGGACTGCTGATTTAAATGGACCAATGATCTCGGTGGACGACTGATTCTAATGGACCACTGATCTCAGTGGACTGCTGATTTAAATGGACCACTGATTTCGGTGGACCACTGATATCTCTAAGGTCCCAACCTTTAACCAATATGGACTCTGAGATGCATTCCCAATTTGGAACGGCTATATTATATTATATTGTACTCTGTTAACCCCATATAAACCCATGTGAATTTTTACATCATTTTGACATATTTTTTCCATTCAGTAGTATGAAATTATGATGATATTTTTAAGAGCGAGCATTTTTATAAACAACTTGTAGAACATACTAGATCTACATTTTGTCTAAGGACTATAAATTTAGGTTATTAGGTCTATGTACTGTTGGAGGATATGGATCAGAATGCTTTTCACCGCATGTTCAGGATTGGCAGGTTCGTCTATAGTAACAACAGGACGCCGGTGACCGTGATGATGATGGTGCGTGAAGATATACTCACACATCCTGTAACACACTTGGAGTAAGTGTGGGGTGTGCGAAGGACGTGTGTGCATTTACCTGAGATTTACCTGAGGGGCCGCCATCTCTAGTGACCTCGACGGGAACAGGAAGCCGGCAGCTTGTCAAATATGTTTAACAAACTCTGTAGCTAGTTAATCAATGCTTTAACTTGTTTAACTAAACTAATATTTGGAGTTCAGTTTCAGAGTTCATTATGTATTTCAGTAACCACTGTAACCAGTTCTGTAACTACTTCACCACTGAGCAAAGCAACGTGATGGATATATGGCGTCCACCACCGCTCACGTGATGGTCATGGGGACCACCACCAGTAGTCGCTTGCATCCGTCGACGGGGCGTCACCTTCTAGTTTATTCGTCATGTAAGTCATAATGTCCTCACAATCCCAATGTACCTTCTTGTATATACATAAATAAATAAATAAATGTTGGCGGAGGTCGGAGGGTTACAGAGGCACGCTGGGGCGGACAAACTAGACCTCATAAAAAATATTACCAGATCTCCTGTTATATAAATTAATGTCAAAAATGTAAACTTGACAAGACGTGGGACGTGACCAAAGTAAACTACGACAAGGAACAAGCAGGAACTCTGGAAGGTAAACAGGCTAAAACTAGTTTTTACTAGGGAAGGAAATTAGATAACATGCTATTTTTGTTTTTCAGGCTTCATACGCTAAAGGCAAAAAAAAAGGGAGAGGAAGCTATTACATCATGCTGTTGTTGTTTTAGATTAGCTACTCAAAACGAAATGTCCATGTAACACAGGCTATAGTGAGCCCGTAATATATATTACTTCAATGTGTTTCTGTTTTCATGTTTGTACTTGTGTGGGTTGGACTTCAGCTCTTAGGGTGAGCTTCGTCAATGTTAATAGATTTGTATATTTGTCTCACAACTCTAGTTTTGGGTTCTGTCATATCCACCACTCCAGTTTCCTGCTTATGGAGTTTACCTCCATTACTCCACAACCCTTGTATGGAATCCGTCTCCACTTCTTTGTGAACTTCGACATCATATAATCCGCTGTGCCAGTCAGATACCATTCTATTCACGACTCTGTTTCCTTGACAATGTGAGCTTCTAAAACAGGAGATTGGGTATTAGTATTAATTTTCATTTCATGGAGGTCCTTGAGATCAATGGAATTTGTAACAAAATGAGTGGCTCAGTAAGGCACAATTTAAGACAGACATCAGTCGACGCCTTTTTACCTATTGGATAATACACCTCATGAAATCGCCTACCCACTAAAACCGTAAATGCCACGACTGTACTGCAGTTGAACATTCAAGCCACCGGCTTTCAGACCCCGTCGAGGCCACTATAGATGATGAGTTTCAGGTAAAAAGCTCTACACTGGACAAATATCTCAACTGGTATCCTCGATTATCTCTCTCTTTCTAAGACTGGTAATAATCCAAGTTTGGGAGAGGAAACTAATCACCACTATATCCATTTTCGGAATACATAGATGCTGAGACGCATGAACCTGCCGCAAAACTATGTAGGATATATGAAGAAATGCCCTTTCTCTATCACGATGTGATGGTGGAACTCGGCACTCCTATTCTCTTGCACCCAGAAAAGGACATATTGAAAGGAACACAATATATACGTCAGATGGTGTGGAGTTGACTGTATGGTAAATCTCTTTTTCTCTCTAACCTTCATCCTTTGACTTTCGCCTTTATCTGTAGCTTCCTATGTGATAGATCTTTTGCACTTATAATTAGCTTTTTACATAATTTAATAATAATTTAACAATTATGCATCTCTTCATATATATAAATATGGTTTGTTATTGATAGATCTCTACTTACATTTAGCTTTATATATATATCACTGCGGTTGTAGTATTATCTTAGATTTATCATGTGAATTGTATATTTGTTATTGACCACAATATGCGACCAATAATTTTGGCGAGTGACTTATAGTCTTGTCGCCAATATTTACACCATTGTTGCCAGCACTGGGAGAGAAAATGGTATCATATTTGTGTATTTAGAGGCCAGCTGTTAGTTTACTTAATTTATTGTGCACCCCATACCCATCCTGTGGGCGGTAGTGGAAAAAAGGTTACAGAGGCATATAATAGGCTCAGGAACAGAATCCCAACATTCATTTAGCTAAGCAAGTTACAGTCTTGATAGTTACACAGAATGTATATATTGACAATGGGCTCGAAAACGACCACGGGTACAGTCTCTAAGCTAAGCAACTTACATTTGATAATTTTATAATTTGATTTCCTTATCATGCACACCCTCTCCCCCCCCCTTAATTATATGTAAAATTTTAAAATCAACCCAGCCTAATGTAAGTAATATTAGCTCTTTATTAGATAGTATTATTAGCCCTCACAAAATATAATATCACAATGTTTAGACTTTTATAGGTATACAATATTAATGTTTTACACTCAAGCTGTTTGATAAAATGATATATCGCTTCTGTATCATGAACTATAAAAGATTAAATGATCAAATCACTTCACAACAATAAATTAACAAATATTTCACCACAAAAACTATGTAATTGAAGTTGCATGTGACTATATATGCCACACAGGCGCATGTGATAATTTAAACCAAATTATAAAAACCTCCAAAAATGGCATATGTTCAAAATAGGAAAAACACTTCTGAACATTCTATAATATTTTCACTTACAATTTTTGCCCGAATATAATTCGGATAATTCAGGGTTTATAAAATAGTAGTAGTAGTAGTAACAAATAATTTTTGACATGTGGGCTCTTGTGGCACAACCACACAAAATATCGACGGTAGAACTATATTTAAATTAGTTAAAAACAGTCTGGCTGAGATAAGTTTTCAGCAATTCTGGCATTCTCAGCACATGAACCTGTAAATGGCATCACCAATGAAAGGATTTTCGCTAGCTCTCGCGTGAAACAAATACTATGTATCACAAACCACAGAAAACAATATCCTGTGTATGTATCATTTACTTTTCAAACAAGATTTTGTGACGGCATCAATAACTTGGCGGAGTTCGATTCACTAAGTAGTCAGATTAATTCAAATCAGCATCTAAATCCTTGATGTCCCCTCCACTTCTGTTAATTTTTTCAGCAAATTGCCCGGCCTCCTTCAAGGTTTCCTGTGCCATTTCGAAGACGCTGCTGAAGGGTAAGTTAGACAGGAGGTCCCTGGGGGTGAGTGAGTCCTCAAACTCTATGTTGTTGCTCCTTATTTTCCGTCCGCTCTGCACCACCTCACCGACCGTGTCCTGCACAGATGAGCCGAGCTGCGAGGCGCCCTCGGACACGGAATGCCCTACTTCGCTAGCTTTGTCTTTCACAGATGAAGCAAGCTGTGTGGCGCCCTCAGATACGGAGTGCCCCGCTTCCTGTGCATCTTCCACCACTTCGCTAGCTTTGTCTTTCACAGATGAGGCAAGCTGTGTGGCGCCCTCAGATATAGTGTGTCCAACTTCCTGTGCGCCTTCCACCGCTTCAGTAGCTTTGTCTTTGGCAGATGAAGCAAGCTGTGTGGCGCCCTCAGATATAGAGTGTCCTACTTCCTGTGCGCCTTCCACCGCTTCGGTAGCTTTGTCTTTCACAGATGAGGCAAGCTGGGATGCGCCCTCCGACACAGATTGTCCCGCTTCCCGGACACTTTCCGCTACTTCACTAGCTTTGTCTTTTGCAGATGAGGCAAGCTGTGTGGCGCCTTCAGATACGGATTCCCGTGCTCCTTCAACTGCCTCACTGGCAGTATCTTTCACAGATGAGGCGAGCTGTGTTGCGCCCTCAGCCACGGAGTGCCCTACTTCCTGTGCGCCTTCCACCGCTTCAGTAGCTTTGTCTTTCGCAGATGAAGCAAGCTGGGATGCGCCCTCAGATATAGAGTGTCCTACTTCCTGTGCGCCTTCTACCGCTTCGGTAGCTTTGTCTTTCACAGATGAGGCAAGCTGGGATGCACCCTCCGACACAGAGTGTCCCGCTTCCTGTACACTTTCCGCAACCTCACTAGCTTTGTCTTTCGCAGACGAAACAAGCTGTGTGGCGCCCTCAGATACAGATTCCTTTGCTCCTTCAACTGCCTCACTGGCAGTATCTTTCACAGATGAGGCGAGTTGTGTTGCTCCCTCAGCCACGGACTCTCCCGCTTTCTGGGCACCCTCCAGGGCTTCACTCAAGGTCTCCTTCACAGATGAGCCGAGCTGTTGGGCGCCCTCAGACACAGTGTCCTCTGCTTTTTGTGCATCCTCCGATACTTCGCTGAACGTATCTCTCACAGACGAGCCGAGCTGTGCGGCACCTTTGGATATTGTGTCCCCTGCTTCGCTGAAAGTATCTCTCACAGATGAGCCGAACTGTGTAGCCCCTTCAGACACAGAGTCCCCAACGCTGGAGGCAGTTTCCCTCACTTGGTCAGCCACTGTGTTCGCGGTGGATCGAACACTGGAGGCAAATGAGGATGCCAAGTCCCCAACCTGACTGAAGAAGCCCTGTGGCATGGCCTCTGTCGCCACCACCGCCGCCGCCACCAGCAACACCACTTTCACGCTCACCATCTGCCGAGATAATGTACCAATCAATAATTCAGGCATTTAATTGTAGCAAATAATTAATTGGATTTGCATAATAATAAGTGAGGTTTGACTCAGTAATGATGAACTAATATATACGAAAATAGGTCACAAACCTTGATATACTAGCTCTATCTATAAATCTATCATTTTTTTTGTATCACCTCTTGTATGTACTTTACCTGAATAAACATTTGAATTTTTTGAATTTGACATTTGAAACACTTGAAAGGCCAAAGAACACTTGTATTAAAAAGTATAATTAAAAATCTAAAATCTATGTGTACAGACAGCACAAAACATATCCACTAGAGTGATATATTAACTGCCAGAATAAGGCTTAGGCTCACGTTACCTGTTGAAGGTATACGCTGGAAACGAATACCCAATCATCAACACTACATCATAATTGGAGTGTAAAGTAAATATACTCTCCAATTATTGACAATTCAGTCATTAGACCGTTTGAGATCCGACGGCCTGAGGTACACATAGCTCTACAGTTACTTATATATATATATATATATATATATATATATATATATATATATATATATATATATATATATATATATATATATATATATATATATATATATATATATATATATATATATATATATATATATATATATATATATACATATACAAGAAGGTACATTGGGTTTATAAGAGTACATAGCATTGATGTTTTTACATTCTTGTACAGCCACTAGCACGCAGAGCTTTTCGGGCTGGTTTAACAAATCTAACAGATAATTTTAAATGATAATCTAACAGATAATTAATTTTAAGTAGGTAATTTCTAATAAAATTGAAAAAAAATGTTAACAAGTACATTGTGAGAAAATTTGACAAAGATTAGTAGGTATATATACAGCTATATATAGATAAGTGCTCTACAATTCTACTGGCTTGGTGGTTATACATTAAAAAGTATGCTGGCTAACACTCTACAACTTATGCATGGTAAACCTCCACGAAACAGCAATCTTAGCTGACCATGGCTAGTTCTTATAAAACTGTTTGTTAATATAGCTTAGAGTTGACGCAAAACATGGATACATCCACGTGTTAATATATAACAAATAAAAAAAAATACATTTTCTTCAATGAACGTAAAGTGTGGTATACTTCAAGATTACATGTTTCTACTACGCACAATGAATGCAAAATATTTCAATAAACTTGTTTTTATACCACGGACTGGTAAAACTTGATACTATTCTTAAGAAATAATAAAGATAAGAGATTGTGTACTTTCGTGTGGTTTGAAGAAGCCTTCCAATCATTCAGATTGCCTATTAATTTACAAGTTAATCTCGACACAATCTAATCACAACAATGCATTGAACTTGCTCGATAGGCTTTAGTCACGTTAGCTAAGAAGTATGTCTTGTGATGTAACAGTTAACCCCGTAAGGATCTGCATTTGGCACAGGCTAACAAAAACAAAAACTGGAATATGATCTAATTTCTCACACGACATGAAACCAGTTTTTCAATCTTCACCTGCTTGCCTTCATCAGTTAAACACTTTCATTTAATCCAAACACGCCCCCTTTTGTTTACGCTAGTTTTATATTTGAATGAAAATCGTATATAACACGTAGTTCTGGTCATTTTAAACTAGGAATACTAATCTGTAAGAAGCTGAGTAGTCTCGATGATTGTGACAAAGAGATTGACCAAAATGCTAGAGATCACAGGAGGTCATCAGTCGATTACAACATTCGCCAGTGACCTATAGGACTGCTTGCCTGGGATATATATATCTATACACCGAAACTTATACCCCGTTTCTCGGTATATATACACTTGATATATTACTTTAAGTCCTGAGCACTGTCCAGGACTAAAGTGTACCTGCTGGATGGTTAGCAAACTACTGGAGTGGCCTTAAAAACCCTCCATGCTCTGATACTGCTCACAAGGTTATATTACACAAATACATATACATATCGATAATTTGTTTATATCACAAGTGATTTAACAAGAGGCTCACAACAGTCACTATACAAAGCACTTTACATCTATGGTGAGTCACACACAGGTTACTAGTCTTGCTCCACACCCACCCAACTGGGAGGCAGCTTTACAGTGATATATGACCTAATTTCTTGTTTCAATGTGTCTGTGTCGTGTATATCCTTCCTCCAAAGTAGTAGTTGTTGTTTCTTATCGTGAGAGTTTTATATACTTTAAAATTTAGCTTTTAACTGTAATAACGAAGTGCAAACTTAGGGGACTTGAATAAAAAATTAACTTAGCAGCCTAACATACCTAAACCAGCAATTCCTTAATTCTCACTAAGCCAAAATGATTAATGGCTAGTGTCAAAAAACATTAAATTTAATAAGATTTAAAGACGGAATGTGTAGAGATATTACCATACAGGGGCTACTAACCATACAGGCGCTACTAACCATACAGGCGCTACTAACCATACAGGGGCTACTAACCACACAGGTGCTACTAACATACAGGCGCTACTAACCATACAGGCGTTACTAACCATACAAGCGCTACTAACCATACAGGCGTTACTAACCATACAAGCGCTACTAACCACACAGGCGTTACTAACCATACAGGCGTTACTAACCATACAGGGGCCACTATCCATACAGGGGCTACTAACCATACAGGCGCTACTAACCATACAGACGCTACTAACCATACAGGCGCTACTAACCATAGAGGCGCTACTAACCCCACAGGTGCTACTAGGCTATTGAGTGCACTCTAACACACACACATACTGTCGTTTCTCTCATGTTAAGTATATCTTTCCTTGAGTCGCGGAACTAAAGAAACTTGGTGGCAGCAGAAGGTGAAAGTTAAGCTTTCTCTCCCTCGTCGCGGTATATAGATGTATTTGTGTCGATATATAATTATTGAATTATATCGGGGAGTTGTGTATGCTTGACGTTTAGAAGTATGGTAGATGGTAGATTATGGAAGTGGGTAGATTTTTGCAATAGCTTAATTCATTCTACTTCTAAACCAGTCATGGATGGGCTGTTTTTTATATTTATCAGCATTGTATGCTTTAAAATTCATGTATACTATTACGAATATATTATTATTATCGTTTCTGTTAATTGTATTATCAATATTATTGGTTTGTTACCGATAATGTGAATAGCTAGCGAATTTATGTATTTTTTTTAATGGCGAATGGTATATACTATATTTATTTGCATATTTTATTTAAATGCATTACTCATATTTAGTAAAAATTGTCAGGATGAAATCATTTGAATAAATATAATAAAATATATAAAGTGATTAGACATTCACAATATATTCATGATATGTTGTTGTTGATTTATGAAAATTAATTCACATGCTCTAATTATATAAAATTAATAGTTTTGTCATATTAAGTAGACATTCTGTATCGCGTAGTAGATACAGTGACGCAGCGGGTACAGGATCCTGTATCATCATCCCTGTGTAACTGCTTATTACCCAAAGCGCAGTTTACATTTGTTACAGGCGGTGCTCCGAAGCAAATAATAACACTAACAAACATTGCAACACAATAAGAAGTTCAAGAGAGGAACAAGTCAAGCCAGAAATGAAATCTCGTTGCCCACGCTTGCAAATCCAACTCCTGGACACCAAAACCAGCTCTATAATTTCCTCTCTAGATTCATAAACCACGATGCTTATAGAGTATTTATATATACACTTATCCCAGGGTCACAATAACTATTACGAGAGAATAACCAGCAATACTCAGAAGCAGCACTCACTGTCGGGTATGTGTGATCGTGACGAGGTTCCAGCGCTGAATGCACCGCCACCACCAGTCCTGCAAGGTCTGGTGAGAGCAGACCTCAATGTTGCCATGCAACCAGATTTCATCCAGTCTATACAACGTCACAGCCAAACAAGTTTACCTTCCAGTGAGTTATGTACACGAGAAAGCCATCCTGCAGGAGGGAAACGACCAGAGGGTTAGAGTATATTTTGTCAAATGTGTGCTTCAAGTTAATGGTGGGTCAAAAACATATAGTCTTTGTGTAGGATGTGTACCCAAGGTCCGGGAGCCCTGCACGGAGCGTAATGAGCCAGGACGCAGGTGAACAAAAGTACACGTGCTGCATATGAGTGAAGGAGCAGGTGAACCAGGGAGCGAGGTGAGGCAGGGAGGGAGAGAGAGACAGGGAGGAAGAGAGAGCTAGCCAGGGAGAAGCAAGGTTTAAGAGACGACAACGCCTCTGCAGCGAGTAAGTCATTTCAAGCGGCGTGGAAAAGATTGGCCAAACATTCCCAGAGATGTTTGAGATGCTCTTCACGGGCGTGGAAGGTCATCACGGTGTCCAGAAAAACACTGTATAGTTCATTTATTATGCACCTCCATACCCATCGGGTGTGGGCGGCGGTAGTGGAAAGGTTACAGAGGTACATAATGGGCTCAGGACCTCATACATTCATTGAGCTAAGCAAGTTACGGTCTTGATGAGCTAGTTACAAATTTCAGCGCACGCTGTAGATTTAATTTCCCATGACCGTGCTTTTGTCACGATCTTATATTCACCCCATAATGCGAGATTTGCAACGATGGCAGATTACATATACCTAATCTAACTTAACCTAAAGTAACCCAATCTACTTAGCCTAACCAAACCAACCTAACCTAACCTAACCTAACCTAACGTAACGTAACCTAACCTAACCTAACCTCCTAACCTACCTTATTTAATCTAATTCAAATAAGATCAATATTGTTTTACTTAGTGTGTGCAAGAGAGATGTGACGTCACTTTGACGTCCTAATTTTAAATTCAGAACAGGTTTTGAATCCTTCTGTTTATAACTGTCTTCATGGACACACTAAGAAGCCAGTTATACTAGATTTTTTGTTTAGGTTGCATTTAACCGTTACAAACGTTATACTGTGCATGGTTTAGAGGAATTATATTATCAAATATATACAGTTCCACAAAGCAAAGCTTCGATAGGTTAGGGATTCTTCAAAAGTTAGGTTGACGGGGAATGTGTATGTGCATGATGTAGTTATAACTGTGACGTAGTCATTGCCCCTCAGTTTACAAGGAAAAGAACTAGGAGTGGATGACACCAGTGATTGTTAAGAGGAGAAGCTGGTCTAAGAACTGTGTTTGTCACGCGAATGCCTTCCCAGCAAACCACCATATATATACTCCAGGGTAAAAATTGTCCAATGTTGGAAATATGCAAGCGTCCCTCTGATCTTCAAGAAAGTCAGAAGATGTGTAGTAAGGGAAAAAAACAAGTTAATGGCGATTCGTCCTATCCTCATACATCTGCAAACTCATTGGGGTGAAATTCTGAGGAAAGATAGATAGCCTCGCCACGAGCAACCTTGGAACATAGTCACGTCACGAGTTTCAACTACAAATCTTACCTGGCAATCGTGCACACATTTTTGGACGCAGTAAACAATTACACAGTCCAAGGATACAAATGTCAATGGTTACAAAAAATTGAAATATCGTACTAAATGGAAGAACGGAGTGCCGTGAAGATCAATTGTAAGATAAAATATTGAAACTGTATGATAGAATCGAACCCTCATCCCTGAATTCCGCAGTGACGCGGGTTCGATTCCAATGTACGGCATCAATATTTTCTCATTGTGCATTAATTGTAAGGTTATCCTTTTTAATAACATATAAGAGTGACTAAATTTCCGTTGTCAGGAAGCCTATGCTTAGGCTTTTTGCAGTCCCTTTAGGCCAAGTGCTGTACCTCGCCCAGGATGCTCCCCGCAACTGTTGCTTACCTCCTTGAGGTTACCTTGAGGTAACCCAAGGTAACCTAAGGACCTAACCTAGGACCTAACCCAAGGACCTAACCCAGTAAAATAGGTCCCGGGGACCTATTTTACTGCTTAATGAACAGAGGCACCAGGTGAAAGGAAACGTTCCCAACCTTGTGTCTACTCGGTTGTGAACCGAGAACGTATACCATTGAGCTACAGAACCCAAGCTCTACGGGCAAGTAGGAGGTGGAAAATCATGTTGCAAATGGATCTACATGAACTTCATTGTGGTTAGTGCAGGCTGTTCACAAGTGGTTGGACCTGCGTTCGATACCAAGGCAGAGCAAAATGTTTGGCCAAGTTTTCTTATATCATGATGCCTCAAATAGCGATAAACAAATACCTCTGAGTTAGACGACTATTATGGGTTGCATCCTGTGGCCGGTTAGTTGCTAGATTAGACAGACCTGGATAAGCCTAACAGGTTTATTGTCCCCTGAATATGGGAGGCGAAATGCTCTTCAATATTGAAAAATGCAATACTGCATAACATATGAAGGACATAACAATATATCGAATAAGACAAATAAAAACTTTATTCATAAATGTAACAGCAGCAAAAATGTTCTCAGTACTAAGACAACTTTCACTCCAGCTAGTCCTGAGTGTCTCAGGACTAGCATCTCTCCCAGCGGACACAACGTGCTCTAGTAACGCTGTTTGAATCCTGAGGCATTTGTTGCATCAACATCATATTGCCAATTAGAAAATTCATGATGAGGATTCGAACCTATGCGCTGGATATTCCCAGGCACACGCCCCAGACTACGTCTCACTGATGCAATCACGTTGGGATTATTAGTCTGTCATTTTGCCAAATATCTCAGCGGGTAAAATTGCCGGAGCAACGTTAAAGCAACGTAGGATCAATATTGATACAACGTTATATCGGCGTCATTCAAGGGGGTTATCCTGGAGTAAATAAGCAAGACATTCGCTGACTGATCTCATAGTGTAGACCAGTACAATGCTGATCAAGTTAGCAGACGTTGAGAGTCTATTTACCACAAGGACCGGCGTGACTCGCACATGAGGAAGACTCTCAAGGTCCCACGTTAATATGTAAAACAGTGCTACGGGTTAAAATTGCTCGGGAAGAATGGGATGACCTTCCACACGCCATCGGCTTCTTGTCACGCCGCGGTCACTAGAGGTTCTGGATATCTGAGAAGTTCGGAAGCTGTTTGGAGGCGGAATGCGGTGACGACGGCGGCAGCGGTGACGGAGATTAATAGCGTCATATAAGGCTGGCGGTATAGTGTGGTCCAGCGGGAGGCCGACGTCGACCACACCAGTCATGAGAGCCACGAACCAAAAGAATTCCCTAGAGTAAACGTCCTCCCAAAATATACTGCAACGAGCGACTAGAAAATTTCGTGGAGGGGAGACTGACGAAGGTCGCTCTCAGATGAAGGTCACTCCGTGAATGAAAGTCCCCTCTCCGACGAACCATATCACTCTCCATACAGTGACGCCCAGCTGAAGTTCTCCGCAGTCTTCGCGGTTCACCTGACAGATGAGACCGTCAAGCGTTACTGACGAGGAAAAACAATAGGATGGTAAAGTAAGGTTATCAGGAGAAAGTGTTAAGCCAGAGTAAGGCTATATTGTTCTTGGAAGATGAGGATAGGGTAAATAAATACATTAAACATAAATACGATAGTGGTGCCCAACCACTTGGATCATGGATAGTTGGAAAGGTGCCCAACCACTTGGATCATCGGGGATTGAACACCGACCTGCAAGAAGCGAGGCCGTCGCTGTACCAATAAGCGAGTCCAAGTAAACATACTAGGTCACTAACCAGTCCAAGTAAACATACTGAGCCACCAAGCAGTCCAACTCTGTGCATATAATCAACCAAATAACGTAACGTAATGGTACGTTACACTATAAATTCAGTGTAAAACCAAGTCAACACTCGCAAAATCTCAATGAACAGCCCAACCAAAACTTTGCACCACAAACAAACTCTCTCCTTGAGCATTGTGCAGCCGGCCGGACTGCGAGCTTTCCCTCGCAACACACAGCGAACTCAATGACACGAGCGCTGGCAGACAGTATACCATCAATAATGTATGCACGACTATTGAAGCATCAAACTGAGGTCAACTGAGAGACTAACATTATTTTAAACCGGTTGTGCCCCAGAATAGTCTGTCTCTCCCTCCATGCCTCTTTTTTTTCCTCTCCCCACATGTTATCTTCTTTCATCTCCTTCCCCTTTCTTCCCCCTCCAAAAAATTTAATAATTCTGAGTCCAATCCCTATGGTATTGCAATATACAATATAGGAGGTATGGTCAGTATAACATGGCTCTCATCGGTTTTATACGAAGTTTGATTTTAAACCAAAACAAAGTCAGAAGCCTCACGCCTTTCTCTTCAAGTATCTTATGTGATAAAGCATTCTGGGCGCTCATGTACTTGTGCGCTAGTTGGCGTTCACAGCTAGTTCTCTATGCTTGTAGCTTGTCTCTTCATTTACACATGTAATGTAATGTGTAGACACTTATGTAAGTGGGTAATTATAATCAATTAGCAATGTTAATTATTTACGATTACTGTACTTGTGCACAGGCGATATGCATCCTTCGTTATTATTGTTAAGTGCACCACTTATAATTTTGGGATAAATTCTCTGAATTTGTATACTTTATTTGCGTATTACTATGTTCGGGTGCATGTGCCCCTACATACGTAGAATAGGTATACAAGTATAGGTATTAAGTCACTTAACATGTATCCCCTGCACATGCACACCATAGCCTGCAACTTACAATTGCAAATGTTTTATTTAAATTGATAAAATTTATATGCCTATGTTGTTTGTTCATCATCAAGCACAAAGATCAGTGTTTAAAAGGGAATTTGGAAGTAATAATACAGCTGATGCCATCTGTCGGCATAAAGGAACACTACCAACTGGCTGGTCAACAGTAGCCATAAGCTACAGCTTATGCCATCTGTTGACATCAAATTACACTATTAACAGGCCACCATACAAAATACAGCTGGCGCCATCTGTTGCGTGACCATTGAACTATCAATAGCCGAACA